TGCAGAGTGCCCCTTTCAGAGGAGCACTCCTCTGCAAGGCCACAGCCAACAGCTCTGCCGAGCGCGGCAAGGACCAGCCCCAGCTAGAAGCTGTTTGCTTCTCTTACCTCCGCAGGGCACCACGCAGTTACTGATCATAAACCTGGAATTAACTTTGAGCATTCTTCTGAATATTCTTGTATTGCTTCCCCTCATCATTTCCCTAACCAAGAGTCTTTTGCAAGTAATAATGAACAAAAGAAACCCTTCAAGTGTTGGTTTAATCTAGAAGTCTAGTGGTACTACTTTGGCAAAAAAAGGAGCTTTGTCCTCCAAATTACCCTTTTTGGTTGACATAATGTTTTGCATATTTCTCTGAGGTGCCTCACATGTTCAACATCTATTTATTAACTTATGTTTGCATTTTACTGGGAGCTCCTCAAGTACATAGCATTCCGCTATAGATGAAGTTACTAAGCTTCAGAAAAGTGAAGACTCGCATTTTGAAATGCACAAAAAACTTGGCACAGTTTGTTCTTTCACTGCCTGGCTAAGGGAGAGCCCAAGCACCAGTCTCCATACGTTGAATCTGTATTAGCTGCAAATGCCAGGTGCTGTTGGAAGTCAGCTCCCAGCAGCAAATAAACTTGTAATAGAGAATCAATCCATTGGAATTGCATTTTCAGGGGAAAATGTCTTACTGAAAGTGTGTGGCCAGCAAATGTTTGAGCATGACAAAGGCAGATGGAAGGTTATCCTAGCATATTTTATGCTTCTTGTGATGTTCCAGACCACTCCAGCCTTATTCCTAAATAATGATCTAACTAGAATGACCAGTCAGCACAGCCCTGCTCTGATCTTTCCCGTTACTCTGTTAGACAACAAAATAGCACAAGGAACTCTTTGTTTACAAGGCACTATTGCTGAGGCAATTACATGTGAAGTAAGTGTCCCAGTATTGCTGTTGTACACATTTCCTGTAGTTTTAGAGCAGATATCTCTGAAAACTTCTTCTGCCCTTCTGCATAACGAATAAATACTGCATTCAAGTCTTCCTTCACCCTACAAGTCCTTGTATGCATTTGTAAATAAGGTGTGACTTTATGACCAATCAGCCAGGCTCCTTGGCTTTGTCCTAATCAGGAATGTTTTGTGTAATATGCATGATGATGGCCAAGCAGTTGCCCTGTCCTGCCCTTTCCACCCGTGTACTCTCTCTTGCCGGTTAAAGAAGCTGCATGTGCAATAGCTCGCATCCCTTGATAAACTTGCAAAGTCAAGAGATTTCAAAGATGTTCAGGCCCGTTCATCAGCAAGTCCTAGTTGGTATCTTGAGCAAGGTTAGAGGACTGCTAAGGTAAATCTATACAGTGACCTGTGCATCAGCTGCACTCAGGAACTTCCATGTATGTTACAGGAGGAATTTGTCTAAGGTAAGGTATGCTCTTATCTAAGAGAATTCATAAAGCCTTAAGAGATGACATATTATATATTTTTAAAAGCTCCCTGATTTTATATGAACACTTGAGATAAAGTAATCTGTGTATTTATTCAGATTTGTAGCTCAGCATAAAGCTGTCTGGTTTTTGGACAACCCTTTTGATTTACCATCCTGTGGTGAAATCGCTGCAGGAATTTGGAGAAGGTCCAATTCTATTTGTTTAAAGTCCTGATCATGTGGCTTTGGCATTCCTAACTTATCCAGCAATCATTTGCTTTTAATTACCATTCATTTCAACCACATAAGTAATGAATGTGGCTACCACATCCAATTTACAGGCTGTGGAAACTCTTGAGCTGGGTGGAACTTTCTTCTATATAGAGGCTTAACTATAAATTTAACCCAAAATGTGAATCCTCTTAACTTATTTTAGGCAGTCCTTTATAAGTTTAAAATAAAAATAAATAAAAAGGAAATGAAAAAAGCCTTAAATGAAAGAGTCCACACAATACACCTGATTCACTTCAGAAGCAATTTCCTGACCTCTCCAACCTCTTGGTATGACTGTAGAAACCTTAAAAAAACAAGTTGATTTAACATTTCTATTTATTCATGGTGTCCAGTTTCCAGAGGAGTCTGTGACTTGTAGTTTTAAACTCAATTTAGCATTTAAACTCATTTTCAGCTGGGTCCCAGTGGAGCAACAATTAGAAAAGGAAAAGAGTTCAAAGAAGAAGGGTTATAACCTTTCAACGGTATGTTTGCCTGGACTTTTAAAAAACGCCCCCATCTCTGTTACTATTCTTCCTACATTTGGCAAATGCTAGGTCAGATGGCTGGGTTGAGGACCTGTTGCTATAGAGAACTTCACAGTTAGGTACAAACCAACACCCAGGAGTCTTTCATGGCAGCTGAGGCAAAGATTCCTTTCTTAGGGGTATTGTTATTTATAACGTTCTGAAAGCCTAGTATCAACAAGCCCAGCTAACTTCTCTTGAGAAAGAAGAAATCTCACATCAAATCAGAACAAGAGGAACTTACCACAAAATGCAAAGACGAGCTGTGCTGTTGCACACTTAAAATTTGTATTAAACCTGTGCGTCTTTTGGCATTGAGGGCTCCATCTGAGACTGGTGTCTCAGCAATCCTGACATTCTATAGATACATTGTGAGAGCCAGGCAGACCATGCAGGCGGTGGTTGGAGGAGGAACAGAGGCAATGTGACTTGTCAGAAGTCGTAACTGGCCAAACTGGGAGTTGAGCAGTGGCCTGCAAGTCAGGACCTGGGGCCCCCGTTTATTAAACTACAGCGGTTTCATCATGGAGAGCTGGAATCTGTACATATTTTGGTGTACTCAAAATTAACGTGTGCTTTCTAGAGTAACGGCATTTTGTGTAGCCAATAGTACTGTTATGAATGGGCTTCCAGTGTCATAAATTCAGCCTCAAGATTCAGCCTCTGCCAAGACCTGCCTACCAAAAATCATATTTGGAAGCACTGTACTTCATGAATACCAATGGGTAACCTGTTGGCTTGTTTTTTCTCTCCCACATTTCTTGCAAATACATGGTGTGGAAGCCTTCCCTGGGATCCACACTGCAGGCTCTCCCCGACCTGAGCACACGGGTACCCCCGGGCAGGACCTGCCCACCCAGACACGTGGGTCTGCGAGATAATGATGTGCCGGGTGACTCAGGCAGGCAGGCTTATATTCCACATAGAGATGTCACCCACTCAGGTCAGAATGGATCAGATCATGCTTTAAATAATGGGCTTTGTGAATGTAAATGAGAGTTTCAGTGCTCTCACAGTTTATTTGGCTAACTTGGCTCAAGAAACAGACCTCTTATGCAAGATTTGATGCCTTAAATTTGAGCATTATATTGTAGAGGGAAAAAGTGATGCTACAATAGCAGAAGAGACAGACAGGAAAATCATTACTGGTGTGTCCTAAAATTACAGCAGACCTGGACAAAAATCTTATCTTTATAAAGCTGGTTGATAGTACACCTGATCATTCTGACTAATTAAATTACTACAAGGTGGAAGCATAAGCATTTACTATGTTATATATCAGCTCATAATAATACAACTAGATTTGATGAGAAAAAAAGAAAAATCAACTAGGATGAATTAAATCAAGATGTCTCTGTTTCATGTGTTCAGAAAAAGATCTGCAATTATTTGTAAAACAGATACAAGATATAGCTGGTGTCAGATAATTTGTGCCTACAGATACCTGCAAGGAAGAGATTTAGGAAAGAACACTTACTCCTAAATAAGCAAAGAGAAAGTCGATGTGCTTGTTTGAATTAATTAAAGTAAAATTTTGATGAGAAATGTGCTTTGATTCGTCTGATGCTGCTGAAACTCCATTTTGGGAAGTTTAAAAAAATTGCAAATTTGTTCTTGGTCACTTGAAGAGAGAAGAATGACAGAAATGACAACAGCTTTCATATAGAAACAGTTGACTGTGGATCAAAATTATCCCTAGGCCAGGCTATTAAAATGATTAAAGGCAGATCACATAAGGTCCTGAACTATTGAAATTTGATGTTCACAGGAGACAGATGCAACCCAGGGAAGCTGGTTCTGAATGGAAGGGAAAGCCAAGACTTTCTCATCAAAACTCTCCCTTCCCCTTCTGTGTTTCCTGCTATTACTGATAAACTGTAGCTGAGTTTTGAATCGGTTGTGACGAGATGATTAAAAATGGTGAGAAGCCATTAGCTCAAAGTGATGTTGTGGCAGCGGCACCCGACAATGTGGTTCTAATCGCTGCCTGCCTTTGAAATATCACTGGGAAAGATCTATAGACAGTCTTCCTGCTACAGGCCATCAGCGTTTACTCTTTCTGTTTGATTTTTATTTAGCTTACTATGAGTTGCTCAGTTCCCAATGAAGCTGAGGGCACTTAGAGGCCCCTTTGAAAACTGAATTATCAAATGGAATTAGACCCCCATTCAAAATTCACCTGTTTTTCATTTCATTAATGTGTGCGGCTGCATCTGGATCCATGACCTGCACAGCCCATCAGGTTTTTTCCCATCATGCTGCCTCTTTCATGTTCCTACCTTCCAATTTCCTCTTCTTCTCTTCAGTTTATGGATCATTCAACTTCCATATGCTGATACAATTTGATTTCCTCTCTCCCTGGCACTCCCACAGCTATAGAAGCATCCACTGATGCCTGTTTCTCTTCTCCTTTCTCAGTCCTGCATGAGACTTTATTCTCAGCTACTAGCCTACAGCCTTGGTCCCAGCCAACCACCCCTACCCTTGCATCCAAGTCTTTGATTTCATCTTCAGAGCAGCCTTTATTGACCTTAGTTCATCAGACTACTTTTTGCATATTTGATGCAGTCACATAAACCACAGAAAAGTTACTATTCTCACAAGATACGTTCTGTGATCTTTTGTTAATTGGCTGCATCATCCATACGGCTGCAAGAGACCTCTTAGTTTAGAAGCACAGCTACATTTTAGGTTACACTAGTGCACTGACTCAGAAGAGCTGAATAAGGTGGCTTTATCACTAGTATCTTAAAAAGAGGGCATACACATACACAAACACATACCTTGGCATTTTGAAGAGGAGGTTGGTAACTAGAGGGCCGATAGTACCTCCTCTGAGTAGCATCAGTATGAATGTCTCCGAGAAATAGCTCCTCCACAAGGTGGTCTAAATTGTGGTGCAGGTACTGCTTCTCCACGCGGATCAGCTGGAGTTCGTGCATGGCAAAATTCAGAGCTTTGGTGCATTCACAGTCATTCTCTTCTCTCAGCAAATCGTAGCTCACATCCTGCTCCCAGGGACTATCTTCTGGTATAAATCCAGGACACGTATGGTTCACCAACTCACTTAATTTTTTGGCTATTGCTTCATTGTGGCATATGATCTGTATGTTGCGCAGCTGATAGTCAGCTTCGGTACCCCCTCTGATGATCCAGGATGCTTGGCGGAGACGTATTTTGCCACGTATAACTAATGTGTAGATAGGGTTTGTGCAGCGATTGCCACCATAATAAAACTGATAGGCCTTAAATGTATTATTGTGGTAGAACCTGTAAGATCTTGTGATGAACTCTGGGCCTGCTCTAACTTCACAGCTGTGGGAAGACAGAAAGTGATGGAAACAAAATTTTAGCAAGATGGCACATCATGTACACTACAGGTAACAACACTGAGCAAACCCACATGGTTCCAACAGAGACACTTGGGTGCTAACGTCCCTCTGGCATGAATGGGTAGTACACTCTAGGCATCTGTGGCCTGCCAGTTAACCAACAATTTCCTCTGCTGTTACGCTGTTATTAATATACTGCTTCATGGTGGTCATATCTAAGGGCTTTATCTTTGTAGTTTTAAATATTCTGAGTCATGTTTCACTTTTTTTTTTTGTCTAGGGGCCACCATGTGACTCAATTATTATCTGAAAAATGGAGTAGCTTATTAAACATCTATTCTTCCCTTTTACATGGTAGATTTAGCAAACGGACTGATAACATCAGAAAGTGAAATGCCAGGTGTCCACAAAACAGTACAAAGTACTGGCTTCTATGCTGCTGTAGAAGCTTCTCAGTGGAGATCCACCAGCTCTGGTCTGCAGAAGACATGCAGGATCATGTCCTCAGCTTTTCCACTCAAACTTATAACAGGGGTGTCAGTTAATGCAAACATCTGACTGTTAACGCAAAACTTCTATTTGGCTTGAATTTGGACCATGCAATACTCAGGTTTTGTAATTTTTCTTTGTTTGTTTGTCTTTTTTTTTTTTTTTTTTTTTTTCTGAAGGTGTAAATGGCAGTTAAATTCCACTTCCTGTAGAAAGTCCGTTTGTGCCTTCAAACTTGTCCCCCTTGTCACATCCACACTGTTTAACATAAATACACTCCTTTCTGTTTAAAAAAAACCAGTCTTTCCTTCTAGGAGTAATTTTAAATAAGCATATGAATATTGCCTGCTGAGACACAGAAAACAAAACAGCTCTCTGAATTACAAGTCATCGTGAATAGAGAGTAAGAGACCTGGTGAAATACAGCTTCTTAATTTCTTTTGCTAATAAAACCCGTGCTAGAGACATGCTCTGAAAACAAGGACCCATTCAATGGATCTAATGCATGAAGTCAAAGATAGTACAATGTTATGTTTGAATAAACATCCATTTTGGCAACTTGTTGGGCTCCTTCCTATTCTAGGAGAGATTTAAAGATATTTCACAGCATGCTGTTTAAAATACAGACTATAAATTGATTCATCAAGACAACTTTATAGCATGCTATTCTAATATACATAACATTGCTCCTTCTCCTTTGATGCATAAATATATAGAAAGCAAACAGAATTTAGAGCATCATATTAAAGAAAATATTTCCCCTGCTGCTTAAAGTGGGAATATTCATCCTTCTCTCTCTGCTTCCTTACCCTCTTCTCTTCCACATATATGACTCAAGCATCTTGTTTTATTTTTCCTTACCCAGTAGACACCCAGTGTCCCTCAATATTGGGAGGCATCTGCACAGTGATCCGGGCTCCATTGTGAAGGTGTTTCAGCATATGATGACACTGTGACTCCTTGAAAGCCCTCCATGCACTCTTCTCCAAGGACCGAGGGTGGGACCTGCTGTCTGGGTGAAGAAGAGCAGAACCTTCTCCCAGCCCTGTGATAGAAAAAGTGTAAATTATCATGAGAACCTGCTGAGAAGGGCTTCAACACAATAAAGGAGGATGTGAACATCTTGCGTTGAATGACACTTGTTTGCATTGCTCCTTGTCTGGGAAAGTACTGTTTACATTTCTTTACTCATCTGAAAAAAAAAAATATATGGGAAGCTCTTCCTCTCTGTCAGCCCACTAATCATCCACTTCGTAAATTTGCTTTACAAAATACACTGTGGAAAAGGGCTAGAACCAGAGTGTTGCATTTCCACACCCAGGAGATGTGGCTCTGAACCTGAATTTTGTAGACACCTCTGTAATCTCTGGTCAGGACAATCAAAAACCTGGACCTTGACACTTTTAGAAAGTTGTATCCAGATCCAGACATAAACTTTGCGGTTTCAGCCCACCTTTAATTTGGACGCTTCTATAATAAACTTGCAAATAAAGACTGCTCTTTAAAGCCACAGGAAAACATATTAAAAGCAAAACCTCTGCACACAGGAAGCCTCTGTGATGACTGAGGTGGTCAATTAAAGGCAGATTCTGCTATTTTTATTTTAAAGGGGAAAAGGAATTTCGAAATCTAATTTTATCTGCAGCAGACAGTAATTTTGGTTTCTAGTAATGTATACATACAAAACCCACCAGCGCTTTCTCTACACAATATTAATTGAACAAAATGAATACATAGCCTCAGAAGGAATGCATCTTTACTCTTTTAGGCACAGCCTGCTCTTAGATATGTTGGAAAACATGGATCAAAAGAAAAACACATATCTAGAGGTTAAGAGGTGACAAACATGAACCTTACATAATGGCTTGGAAACTGTATTACTTTGCCAGAAGGAATTTAAGAACCAGTGGGCTAGAAAACAAGTACGGGGTGAGGTGGAGGGGTTGGTTTTGTGCTTGGGAGGTTGGGGCAGCTGTCTCGGGAGAGGGATGACTTGCTAACATGTGCTCCCAGGGGTAGGGTCTGGGATTCACCCCCATCTTTTCTGGTGCCCTCTTGGCTGACCTGGCTCAGGAACTGGGCTGTTGGGGATCACCAGTGCCTGGTGCGACTCTACACCGTGCTGAGCCACCTAATGCAGGATCCTATGCTTTATTCCCCAGGGCACATCTAACACTTAGGCACATGCTTGGGCAGCGCACAGCATCGCTACAGAGGTTGCAAGAAAATCGGTATTACTTGTTTTTAGGTAGACACTGTTTCAAACCTTTGCCATTTCCTATTGCAAAAAAGAAACCAGTGCCAGTGATTCATTACGTTGACTAGGTCTGATATCTTCTTGAAAAAACTTGGGTAACACCTGGGAAAATGGTATTGCTGAAAATATAAATACACGTCAACCATCTAAAACCAGCAATTCCTAAGCTAAACAAAGGCAAGGACTTATCCAGTAGGCAGGGTAAAGAATGATCAGAAAGAATACAATAAATACCTGAATGTAAACAGTGCTCACCACTGAATGAGGTCAAGATTTAAGGAGATTAATGAACACAACCTCCTCACAAAGTCTTTACTGGAAAATCTGGTAGCTTTTTTGCAGGTCACAAACAATTCTTCGATCTGAATGGGAATTTACGGCCTTACTTTCTAAAGGGTAATAAATACTAGAGATGCTTTGATATTTGAGCATGCTGTCTGAGATGCCCTTAAAGGGGCCTGATTTTCAGGGGGTCAATACTTCTCCCTTTCTGGAAGGCAAGGCTTCTCAAGGCATTTCTATGTTGCTGAGCAGAATCACTCATGTTAGTGCCAAACAACTCCCATTCTGCAGCCAGAGACAGTACAGCCGCTTCAGGAATGTTATGGCCATGGCAGGGTGACGCTCTGCTCGAGCTGACTATATCTTTGAAGAAACAGGATTAACCAGATAGAGTCAGTGCTCCATGTATGTGGTGGTACAGCCTTCTGGGATGAAGCCAGCATCTCTGCACAGCAGCTTGGTGCTGTGCCGTCTCTGCATCCCACCTCACCTGGAGCAGCACTTGACACTCAAAAACCTGGGTTTATTTGGTTTATCTGAAAACTTGTGGCTATGGGGCAGATATCACAGGCCTTCACACCACCCAGAGAACAAGTTCAGCCAGGTGCAGGTGAGCTTACCGGTATATTTATTTTTGTTGTTACGAATCACAGCTAGTGACTGAGAGCTTGCCTTCTAAACACCCTTCTCTATCTCTAAGTCTCCACACACCTCAAAAAGCCCACGTTACTTTGGCACCTCATTCTGACATGGAGCGAACGCTCCTGTCCGTGGGCTCAGAGCATCTTTTGAATCAGAAGTGACACCGACACCTCCTGCAAGGTACCTGCTAGAGGGTATAGCCATCAGTCCTTTCAACAGAAACATAGCTGTCAGGATGTCTCCTGCAGACAAATTATCTCAAGTTGGAAAAGTCTTTGAAAATTTACATTTCAACTTGAAGTTGTCAAGCATTTAAAATCTGCCATCAAGAGATTTTGAAATGGTTCAAGTGACTATTTACAAGGCATACTTATTATACCACTTGCTTTTAAGCAGTTGTATTTTGCCTAGCTCGTGTCATATGATTCATAAATACAGATGCACTCAAAAATGAGTGATTGATTCATTTAAACATACTTGGGCATTTAATTTCTCCAAGCAAAAATCTTTCTGTGGGAGGATACCATCTTGTATGTGCACATATCAAAGGAGAAAATGCAGTAACCGCATTCCCAATTATTCCCTGGAGGAAATAATGAAAAGAAGTGGGTTTTGAAAAGGAGTCAAACTTTATGTGGCATTATACAGTGTCTTTTCTTTGATACAGCTCAAAAGCAGTTGGGTCCCAGCTCTCCCTGTCACATGTATGTAGTTCTGTCTGCAACTTGAAAATGATAAACTGTAACCAGTGAGCAAAGGGAGATTTGTGTGGACAGCCCCAGAGATCTGTAACTGTGAAGAGCATATTTGTTTGGGACTCTACCCATCCAACTGACAAATGAGAGCAGGAACAAGTTTAGGTAATCAAAACAGGCATGAGAACATAATGAAGGTTGCAGATACAGAGGAAGGGACGTAGAAAACATGCTAGGCAACATGACTTACATAGGATAAGAATATCAGAATATGAATTACAGTATAAAATTAAAAGGCAGTGAGGGGATCTTCACCTATGTTTGTGTTGCTGGGGCAAGGAAATAATTTAGCAGAGGCTTCTTCCTTACCAAATAATCATTTCAACGCTTTTGTATTTACTGACATATGCCTGTACATACAACTACCACACAAAGGAGCCATAACCTCCCCTTGTACCATTTGAAGATCAAACACCAAGACTGGTGATATGCTTCCCACACAGGGCAGTAAACCGAACACCATCTTCCTGTGCTTTTCCTCGCAGCAGGTGCTCGGGGCAGCGCCGTGTCCCCCTGCTCCACACTCAGCAGTGCACAACGAGGTGTTCCTGCAGGGATGATGGCACTAGTTTTAAAAGATCCATTTGGGCATGTTAAATGGGACATCGCTGGAAGGCTCAAGGTTATAATGTGCTTTCATGAAACTGGGAAAATAATTTCATGGCTCTTTAAAATCCACTTTGGAGCCAAGATGCAGTTGCAACATAGTTGGAGCCACTACTTTCATTCAAAGAGATCCAAGTCTGCTCTTCTCTACAGCACAGACAGATGGTAGATTTCAATACCTCCATGACACACCATGTATCTCAGACTCTCTCTGACTGACTTTTAAATTTTTGTGTGTTATGAAGGAATCTTACCCACTTGTTAAATAAAAAAAAAAAAAATCCACCACGTTCTTACTCAAAAGTGTGACAGACTTCAAACAAAAACCAGTCTTTGCATGAGACTAATAGCAATAATTCTGTGAAGAGTGTGGTTAGCTTTCACTTTAGCTATACCACAACCAGAGGTCATGAGATCGTATCACCCCATGGTAGCTGTTTATGCAAAGGAACAAGTCCAAAAGGAAAAGGAAAATTCCAGAATCCATCAGAAATGCCAGCTAGAAAAACAAAGCAAACAAAATGCATTTTCTGATGAGTAGATATCCAACTTCTTTTTCATAATCAAGCGCTAGCAGTGTAGGCCACAGCTTTAGCATCAAATTAATTGGAAACAGTATAGGAGGTGCTACAGCTAGCTGGGGATCCCTGCCCAGGCCCTCACAGATCATACTTTACAGGAGCAGATGCAACATCCATCTGAGTGGGAAAGTGAAGGTCTGCACATCTGTCACTCAGTAAGATGTGCACAGGAGCACACACTACACCAGAGGACTTCAGGCTCTCAGGTTCACCTTTAAACCTGTATCTGATGTGGGAACAACCATTCAAGATAAAAATAATTGTTAAGGGAAGATAGGTTACTTTCAAGTTCTTCAAAGATTTCTGCACATAGCTGCAAGTAAAATACAAATCTTAAAAGGGCAATCTTTTGGCAGCCTGTTACCCAACTGTGTTTCAAAAATGGCTACGACAAAGCTCTCCACCAACGTTTCTGCAAAAAACTTCAAGCTGCTAGAATAAATGTTTTGGTTTTCTGAAAAATAGTATGCAAATAATGTACAATTGCAACACAGATAACGACAAGTACAGTTGTGCTTGAACACAAATTCTTATAATTTAATTTGTGCCTAAACATCATGCCAGATTGCAAAAGTAAATTTGCAAATGCAAACAACCTCAAATCTTAAACAGTTTAGATTTAATCAGTTTAATGAACACCTCTACCAGAATCTAAACCATGGCTTCAAACATGTCCAAGTGTAACGCTTCAAACCAGACTCAAAGCTACTAGGTGTTCAGCAGGTTCACCTTTTGCTAAGTGGGAGAGTAAATGTTACCTAAAAGTAGGATTCAAACCTCGAATCAGATTAGAATTGCTCAGCAGAGCCACTTCACTTTTTCTTTCATTTATAATAATGTAAATCCAAAAAAGCACAATTTTATTATGAATTAAAACAACCTTGAGTGATAGTACAAGTTCAAAATATGTGATGTCTTTGTCTCTGATAGAAACATTTTAACATTTTGCTTTATTTCTGCAGCAAACTCTTTTCAAGTTAGAACATGTTTGAAACTTGAAAAACCTTATGACAGATAAAGAATAATTGGCTAGATTAAGTTTATAGCTCTCCTTATCTGGGTAGTTGCCCTGCACAATTAAATAAATAGACATTTGGATTACTCTCTTTCTTGATGTGGGATAGCGTTAGATAACGCCCGTGACAGGCTTTTAGCTACAGTGCAAACTTACGTAATTGCCATGGAGAATATAATGTCCTGTTACCAAGCCCCAGTCTGTGTTTACCAGTGTTTTCCCTGCACTTGAAACTTCAAAGAGTCCTTGCAGGATTGGGACCTAAATTAGCTACTATAAACAAAAGGGTTGGGAAAGGAAAGCTGGGGTTTATGGCCATGGAAGCAGACAGGACAAGGATTTCCTTTCACGTGTATCTGTTGCCTTTCTTGTGCATACAGTGTTTCCAGGTACAGCCTTCAAAGAGATGCAAAATGAATGTTTCAGAACATGGAAGATCCTGAAGAGAGATCTGAAGCATGTTTAGGTGGGACAGCTAAAAAGAAACTTCTCCAAGTCTGACAGGCCCAGTACTGAGGTCCTCTGTTATCCTACAGCTCCGACCTTACTCCATGCCCCATCTTGGAAGAGGTTAGAGAACCAAGCACCAAGCAGTTACACAGCCAATAACTTCTGAAAAGTTGAAGTCTGGCTCTTAATTGGGATGACTGCTGCTACCCCTGCAAGGTGAAATACCACTGCCCAGAGCTTGGGCTTCTTTATGAAGCCCCGAAGAGTTAAATCCCACCTCTGCCACTGGCATGAGTGGGTGCAGCACTGGGCCGTAAGTGCAGTTCAGTATCGATGGTAGTTTGGTCTCGTCCTCGAAGGAAACATCTGCTCGCTGTCAGAGACATCTGCCACGCAGCCCGCAGACCTCTGCCCTGTCCTCCACCCACACCTTGGCACCAGGATTTATTCCTGCGGAACTGCCCCCAGCGCTGACAGGATTTGTGGCAGATTAAAGACAACTCTAAACAAATTCGCTGTGTATAATCCCACCCCCTCTCAGCCCTCCTTGAAGTGTTGCTTCGGTAATAAAATACTAGCCTTGCCTTGAATGGCTGAAGGTATTTGCCTTCAGTGTGGTTCAGGCTGGTTTTGGGCCTCATTGTCTGGCAGCCTACCTCCTATGGACACCCTACAGAGCATGAAAATTGCCCTTACTGTTCATGACACCTACTTCTTACCCCTTTTAGCCCACAGTCAAGCTACACAGATGAGTGAAGTGGAAACTGTGAATAAAATTTAGTCCATCTTCTAACTCTCCCTGCAAACTCTGCAAGTCTTACACTAAGCACTGTGTCTTCCCCTCTTCCTCTAGTGTCTGCCAGATTTCCAAATGCAGTATTTGACTGAGGGAACAGGTCACTTATGTCTCTAGCACAGAGCACAATGTTTGTCCATTTTATGGATACAGGTATTTATATCTGCCGATACATTTACTTATTCTTTTCCTGAACAGGTTTTGAAATATAACATTTCTATGTGACTAATTTAAAACAATACTGCCAGAGAACTTTTAAAAGCATAAACAGTTTTGCTCTGAAAAGCCTAGCAGACCTGTCTTCATCATCTTCATTAGTACTATTTTCATGATGTTATCAACAAATTGCTTTAAAATTTCTAATTCATTACTCTAACTGTAACATAATCAGAAATACACTAAAGTTTCTTCTTAGCATCTGTACTTGTAAAAAAAAAAGTTTACCTTTACAAAAGAAATTAACCAAATTTGTTTTGAATCCACTTGAACAGAGCTTTTATTAATCAGGTTTTCTGAAGCTGAATGATCTTAGCATTTGACACCTGAAACTTCTGTGGCTTTTTGTCTAAGCAAAGAAAACAGTGATAATGGACAACATCCAGCTGCAAACCTTTTTTTTTTTTTTTTTTTTTTTTTTTTGACACTGTACGGGTTTTATCTTGATTAATGAGGACAAGTTTTTCAAAATTTTAATTCAGCGATGTCGAAGTAGGCATTTCTTAATGTACTTAAAGCAGAAGCTTAGGGACATTTTAATTTGCGTTATAAAGCTTTACGCCCTAAAAAAGCCTCAGCCACCCACCCACACTCACTTGCTTTTAACCCTTAAATTGCCACGTGCGACAGAAATGCAAAAGAAAACATCAAATGCTGTAAAGAGGCTTAACACTGCGATCCCCTGGGACAGCTACTTATTCTTACACATTACAAATTTGGGCTAGCCGCTGGCCAAAGGATGTTCCTATTGACTATGGCTCAGAGAAAAAAAGCTCTAGGCCCAGTTAAAGCTAACAGGGTAAATACAGTTAGATGGGATACATTTCAGCGCACTATATGCCATTGATGTAATTTTCAAATTTGTAAGAGGGCAGTAGTTTCCCAGCACTTGAAGCTCAGATCCAAACTGTGCACTGCTTGATTACTGCGGTGTTTGTCTTTATGTACAAGAACTTAGGTTTATGTTATTTGGTGAAATGTAACTACAGATGGAAGAAATAGATGATTTTCGTCCTTCATCCTCTTTTGGCATCTGCTGTTTTGATCTGATCACTGGCTCTGATTTGTTTCCTGCTCCAGCCAGGGTTCAGCTCTGCTCTGTAATTCCAAGCAGATGAGCTGGGGAGTCCAACCCTGTAATTACACCTCCTCTCTTTGCCCTCTCTAACTTCAAACCTCCCATTTCGACTTTTACATGTCAGATCACAGAGTTTTAAGGAACACCTCTGGCGTCCCGTCAGGTCTGGTTCAGCAAAACACATTTCTACGTTCTCTGGATTTCATAGCTGAGCTGTGAGAAGGGTATAAAACCCCCTCCTGAGGAACAGGGTCTCCTGCTCTTTTTCAAAAGAAAACACATAATCAGAAGCCCATACCCTTTATTATTTATTAAATACCATCTGTGTGCTTAGCACTTGTACAAACACAGACAGAGACAATCCCTGCTCCACAAAATCAATCCCAGGAATAGCTTTGAAATCCTTACCCCAGCTCATAGATCTCATGCTGAATCCATGTGAGTCACTTGCATTGTAACAGTTAAAACAAATTCCCCTTTTTATGAGTAAACTTGGGGTCCTAAGAAATTTAACTGAAGAAGGCTGGATGCTACAAAGTACTTCAGAAATAGGAACACTCTTCAAAACGATGCTGTAACCAAGTAGGTTGAGTCACTCTTTCAGAACAATATCGTGCACAGATTTTTCAAATCTGGCTGCCAAATGTTAGACATACCTAAGCAGCTCATTAAATAGCCTCCTATTCAGAAGTTGCTCTTGAAGAGCACTGGCTTTCTGGAAAGATGAGTTATCTGTTTAAGTGCCTAAATATGGTTTTACAAGCTGAACTTGTAAGTTTAAGTTTAAACACACTGCCTTTTCCCAGTAAAATTTTGCCTGCTGTGCAGTTTCAGATAAATGTTAGTCCGGGGCTAAACTGAGAGAGTGTCAAAGGACAGCGTGTAATGACACCCAGAATCTCTGTGCTCTGCAGCAAAACTTTTTTAGCTGGGTGCAAGACCCGGTGCTGGCAGACTCTGCTGCCGAGGGCTCCCCGGCTCATACCTCCATGGCAAAAACTTTTTCTTTGCCTGCGGGTGAGACGTGGGTCCCGCTGGGTGTCTCGGCCAAGCTCCCCGGAGTTTGGAAGAGCCGGCCCTCGGCTCGGAGGTGAGGAGAGCATCTTTGTGCGGGGTGTCCGGGCCAGCTGCTCCAGCCGAGCAGCCACAGGCGCGCAGCACGGTGCCGCCGCCAAAAACTTGGGAGCGGGGCGTTTTTCCGTCCGTTTTTACCTGCACCAGCCGGCTGCCGCCCGGCGCCGCGCCCGCCCGCCTTGCCCGGGGTGCCGCTAACGCGGGGGTTCGGGCGGAGCGAGCGAGGTGTCTGCCCGCTTCGGCACCCACACGGGCCCTCCCTCCGCCAGACCCCCCGGCCCCAGCAGCCGGGACCCAACGCCGGCGTCCACGACGGGCGAGCACACCCACCCGCGACCCTCTGCCCCCACCGGCGCGGTTACGGGGCCCCCCCTCGCAAGCCAGCCGGCTTTTCGGGGGGCGCACCCCGAGTAAAGCACCCAGCGGGCGGGGACCCCTTGGGCAGCCGCCCCGGCCCCCCGCCCCGGCCCCCGCACTCACCGTGCAGCAGCAGGGCTGGGAACAGGTATCTCATCAGGCTGCCGTACGGGGCGGACATCTCCCCGCCTCGCCGGGCCTCTTCCCCCCCGCTCCTCCGCGCCGCTCCGCGCCGCTCCGCGCCTCCCGCCGCGCCGCCCGCGCCTCAGCGCCGCCGCGGGCAGCCCACGGCCCGGCGCTGGGGAGCAGGCGGCTGGCGGGGCCGGGGACCGCCGGGCACCCTCCGGGGCCGGGGGCCGCCGCCGCTCCCGCTCCTCAGGGCTCCCGGCCCGCACACCGCCGCCCCGGCCCCGCTCCGGCTCCGGCCCGGCCGCCGCTCGATGCCCGAGGATGCCCGCTCCGCCACCGCGTCCCCCGCCGTCTCCGCGGAGCGCGGCGGCTGCTCCGCTTCATATTTCCCCTTCCAAGCAGGAGGAGGAGGGGTCGGGAGGTGGGGACTCCTCCCGGGGCGGGGAGGGGAGGCGGCCCCGCCGCTCGGCCGGCGGCCGCGCCGGACAGCGCTCCCACGGAGCGGGAAGGGGTGGCGGGGGACGGGGCGCAGCGAGCACACGGGGATGGGAAGGGGGGTGAGGGTGTGTGGGAGGGGGGGGTGCGCGGCTGGCAGTCTCGGGGGTTGTGAGATCGGGAGGCGGGTAGGATGTGCCCGTGGGGGGATGGAGGAGGCGTGGGAAGGCGTGCGGGACCGGCCGGTGCTTCCCCCGCTGCGGGGAAAGCGGCCCGAGCAGGGACGGGAGGTGCCGGCGGGGCGGCGGCTCCCGCGGCCCGAACCCCGTTTGCCAAGGGGTGCGAGCCGGGTCTGCGCCCCTCAGCTGGAGAGAAGGAAAGTCGGCGTGCGTCCTCGCCCCGAAACGAAGCCTTTGCGGGGCTGCGGCTTTCCACCAAAATCAGGCGTTTTAAAAGCTAAAATTAGATGTCAAGGTTGCCTTCTTTGGTGCTGTACTCTCCAGCACGCTTTCCCCATGTCTGCCGTTGATTAGTTTTGCTTTTTAGTCTAGTCTGAGGCCTTGGTCACGCACACGCACACACGGACTTAATGTTGTACATGTGGCTCACGCGCTTGAGTTTAAGCACGGGGCATTTGTTTGTAATGTCCTCTGGACAGGGACATCATGTTTTCTAGTTTGTGTTTGGACTCGTGGGCTCAGCTGTAGGGCCTCATGGCAAAGAATGTGTAACAAATTGTAGGAAATTTTGAGAAAATCAACATAACTGAGTGTTGAACAGCTTAACTGAGCTAAAGTGTTTACACGCTGCATGCTTAAAAAGAAATGCAAGTGGTGATGATTCCTTCCAACTCCCTTGAGAGGGAAGAATAAATTAAATCTTCCTCACTTACATAGGGAGGAAACTGAGACAGAAACAAGTAAGTGGTGAGTCAGAATTGGAGCTCCGGTGCCTTGGATTCTCAGGGTTACGCTTGCGCATTCACACAAATGTTTCTCAAGCCAGAAAGGATGGTTTCCAGAGCATTTGGTGGTGGTCTGTACAAGCCTGTAATGGTCACTGACCTGGAGAGAGATGTGCAAAGAAAAGCAACATCCTTTGAGAAAGAGGTGTCTATGAACATCAGCAAGTGACACTGGGTAAGGCTGTAAAAATACCCTTACTCAACATGGCTTACTCATCGTCAACCCATTCCTAGAGTTGCCACAGGTGTTTGTTGGGCGTGTGTGTGACAGGAGGTGATTCTTGCCGAAGACATAGTGTCTTTGGAAAAAGCCTTTGCATCCACCTGGCTGTTTTGAGGATTAATCCAAAATTAACCTAATTTTGCCACTTGTAACAGTGGCAGAGTGGTTTTTCATTACCTGCAGGTTCAGTAAGTGACACAGATCCAGCGGGCAAGGAGAACAATATTCGCTTAAATACAGTACAAGCATCTGTATTTTTGAGTCTTGAGGACCCATGATGTATTTCAGATCTGTGTGTGATGGTTTTCTCGCCTCAGAGAAGTTCCTGCCAGGGTGATCAGTGAGATAATGCTGAGTGGGCAAACGGGATATAAGGAGAAGTGAAAGGCCATGTAGATGGGAAAGCAGATTGCCCGGCTGTTGGCTGCGAGCACCAGGTTATTACGAAGGGGTCCTGCCTGGTGGAAGAAGCCAGCTGGAAGAGTCTCACATGTTTGGCAAGAGTGCAGATAATATGGCGTGTAGGAAGGCTCTTAATGTAAGTCACCTGCTATTTACCTCAGTGTAAAAGGTAAGCCAGCAACACCGTGAGCAATAATGAAGGACTAGCAGTTTTGAAGTATAATTGCAAAAAAACAGCAACATCCAAAAGGAGAAGCTTTTTCTATGGATCTCTACCCAGATTTAGCAACATAATTATCTGCAAAAAGATGAGACAGGATTGCCTGCAAAAAGTCATTTATCTCAAAAGTCAGTTGTCTCAGAAGCTCACAGTTTCTCCCCTGGGAAGTGCCAGCCCCCTATGGCAGCATCACTAACAGTTTTTTGTAAGAGGAAAGGGGACTGACTTTACTGCTCCATTGGCCAACTTGGTAAATGAGGCTCCGCTTGTGATTTACTATCAGTGCAGCTTCAGATGTAGTAATGAAATGAAATTAAACCAATACCCAATGGGTTCAGACATGGGAGAACTTGCCAAAAACAACACAGAGTATACTTTGTCTTTTACTCATCTTTTTTATTTTGCGTTATTTTAAGGATATGTTTGTTTGTTTGTTTGTTTGTTTGTTTGTTTGTTTTTCACAATATGTATATATTTTTAAATATACTCAGTCCTACTTGTTTCATTACTGTGCCCCTATTTGGAATGTGTTGTAATGGGAAGCAGTGACAAATAACAGCTCTTTGCACTTTGATCTAAGCAGCATGTCACATCAGTGCTCATTAGAAATTTTCTTAACCAATCCAATAATGACTTTCTGAACTTGGGCTGATGGGGCAAGGTACACACCTAATGTAGGTAAAATATAAAATCATTTACAAAGGCATCTCTCAACCATATTCTCAAAAATATCATGGGGGTTGAAACATTCCAGAAAGGAAGTCAGCAGAATTTTGCACAGAAAGGAGCTGTTCCGGGGAAAAAAATCTCACCTGATGGGAAATGTACTTTGTGGCTGGGCCCCTCTGCAAAAAGTATTAAAATAGGAAGAAAACTAACTTGTTAGACTTGTTGTGTGACACTTCAAAGATCTAGACATATCAGCATAGCACTTGTCTAGCTAAAGTGCCGGCTGGTTGGCTGGCCGCCAATGCCAATTTGGTGGTGAAAGATATTTAAAAGAGAAAGAGGATGGGAAAGAATGGAGGCAGCAAGCATGTGAGACACTTTATGCTATGGAGAAGAATGGGATGGGGCAACACTCTGCAACTCAGTAATGTTTTGGCAGTGCCACAGCTATGATTTGCTAATGGCTATATTATGTTTTTAAAAAGACAGTATGTTCTCTTGAATAAGTCAAAGGAGCAGGATGTAAAGATTTATTCAAGAGGAGTAGAGTGACTAATTCACAAAGAATCAAACGTCTGTCAGGTTTCTAGCTGTGAATTGTCTGTGGCAAATTCATCAAAATAAATGAAGATTTGGAGACAAGTTTTCTTATATGTCCAGCTTGAGTTAGAATCCACAAGATGAGCCTGGAGCCTGTCTGATACATAGAAATACACACTATGTGACTTCTTATTTTGGCTTCAGCTGTTTGAGGGAGAAGTTAAACCATTTTATGATATAAAACAAATGACAATCAGTTTGGTTCTCCTTTCAATTTGGACTGAAAATGCTATAGTTTATAGGGTATATCAGGGTTTATCAGTTACTGCATCTATAATTTGTATATTTTTAGAATAAGGTGTTTAATCTGCTGATTTTTTTTCACTCTCTGTTAAAAGAAGTAATTGAAAGAGCTTTTGACAATATTTTCTAGATGTTTGGCTCCCAAACTGTGCAGAATATTTCACCTTCCCCTACCAGAGACTTGATATTCAATGTAGCCACTGAAGCCAGTGGATTTTTATGATTATCTTAAGGGATGCTGAATCTGGGTTTAGTTTTTTTAATCATGTACCTGTGGTAATGTTCACCTGAAACCTGTGGTTCTGAGGTTGTTCAGGTTACTACCGCGGCCTATCCTTTATTGCTCTTCCTTGTTTAGGTAGATAACTAGTTGGAAAAGTATATTTTGGAAATGAACTTATTTTAGTCACCTATGACACAATGTACATGTTGAAGGTCTGCTGCCTGGTAACAGGCATAGACAATATAGACCAAACATAGTAAAAATGAAGGACTTGTGGCCATTGTCAAGATAGGCTCTTTTCCCTCTATTTTTTTTCAGACGAATGCAGAGACATGCATGTACACACACAGACACACATACACACACAGCCCATCTGCTAGAATAGGCTTTCTGGTTTCACAAAAATGTAATTATCTGAAGTAGGTTGTTTAGTTTTCCTAGAACAGTTTGAAAAGTAGGTGGGAATAAAGGTGTAAAATGACTTGCAGAATAGACCCTGCAGGGCTCGGGCCATCCCAGACATAGAAATCAAAGAAAGACATAAAGAACTCAAACAAAGCAAACGGCTTTACATAAAATAAGCTCTTTCCTTCTTGTTTCTCCACTTGTTTCTGGCATTTAAAATGTGCTTGTGATGGGACTGCTCAGAGCCAAAGAGGAACTTCTCTGTGTAGAATTACTTTACAAGCACGGACAATTTCACGGTCCTGTTGCTGCAACCAGAGCTCTAGGGCCGGGCCCAGCTCCCAGTGAGCTTGGCGGGGGTCGTGCCACTGACTGCAGCGGGGGCTGGATCAGGCCCTCCTGGGGCTGCTGGAAAGGCCAGCTGGAACAGCCAGCGCTTCTTGTGCGCTGACGGCAGTCATCTGGAAGCACGGCAAACAGCGGGCAAAGGTGTTTCTTCATCCAGCATACATACGAGCATCCATCCTAGCCCTCTCCAGCGCGGCTGATTTCATTCGTTCGTTGGTGTTCAAATACCATGGAAATGAGTGTGGTTAAAAACGCCTTCATAAATGTTGTTCATGCCTTCTATTGTTTGCACAGTGGCTTTCTGATGTTGTGACTTAAAAAAAAAAAAAAAACGAAACCAAAAAACAAACCGCTCCACACAACCAAACCAGCAGATTGAAAATCTGTTGCTGTCAGAGCAAAAATGCTCTCCATATATCTTCTTGCTCCGCAGCACAGTGCAACCAGTTGGAGTAATGACAGTTTCCATTGCTGAAGACAAAAGAAAACTTCTGGAAAAATTTAAACACATGTACGGTGTTGTTCATTGCTACTTCTATTTTGACAGAGTGAAATTAAACTGGTTTTGATTATTTTTTTCAGAGAAAATGGAAGTCCTGGCAATTTTTTGTAAACTATCCAAAGAAGCAGATTTCATTTCCAAACTGA